AATGGAATATCATCTGCTGAGTTCAAACTAATTAATTTTAAGGCTCTGGGGATTTTTTGATTCTCAATTCGATAATTTTAGTAAGGTGATAAAAATCATAAAAAATTATCGAATCTTTTTTTTTTTGGTAAATATATGTGATAGATATGCGATGCATGTAAAGCAATTGCACTGCAGAAAGGATTAAATAATCATTTTATGATTTTATGAAAATGATACTTTTAGTTGAGAAACTATGCCTTCACGTGTACGCATGTCGGAAAAAATTTGTAAAAATACGAACTAAGCACCAAGGGATTTTATTTGGGATCAATGGATCAGACGTTAGGCGAGTCTTTTTCCGTGTGTAAGGAGAGAAGATACTAACCTCATGTGCTTGATGGGTTGTATAAAGTTGGTCTGTACAATTTGTATTCAACAAATGCTGTTATGAAGCAGCCTAACTGTTTGTATTACTTGAATCGCAGTAGTAATACTGGCTGTAAAATCAGTTCAAAATTTAATTTAGTGGTCTAAACGACATGTTTTCAGTTTTATAATCAGGAAAAACATCTAAAAGAAGAGGTCTCAAAAGGAAATAAATTGCTACAACTTTCTCATACAGTCATACCATTTGTTGGAATAAAGAGATGTTGGATCGAATCCGAAGAACACAATAGAGCACAGGATGTACTGTCTTTCAAAATTATCTCAAAATTTTCAGTCTATTAGGAACAGAGATTGTTTGGGAGTTAACAATGGTAATGTACCCAGTGATCAGGAAAAAATTGACTCTAAAAAAAGTGATTGCTTCAACTTGTAAATGAATCCAGACAGAGTAGGGATTTAAGTCATTTCACCAAATCGTTGATCGACAAACAAATATATTTGACTAGCAATAGCAGATATGCACAGGAGGACCAAAGAAAATGCAGCAGATGTTAATATGATGAGCTATTAAATTGCTGCAGTGAGAAATCTGTCTTAAATAATGGTAATTCGAGTGATAGAGAAAATCGTACCCCTGAGGGTAAGGCTGACATAATGCTTTTGATAATAATAATAATAAAAATAAATAAATAAATAATCAATATCTCAAGCATGATGCCGAACATACCTTAATTCCAACAAGAGCCGAAGAAACAGCAAGAAACCAACCAAAGCTGCAGCTGCACAAGATGCAGTTAACGACTCATTTAAGCAAGAATTACACAATGAATGTGTGGGAATAAATGGGAAAATGGTGGATACATGAAAACTTGATAACCTACCAGATGGCTCACAACAAGGCTCAACTTTCGCATTTCATCTTAAGAGGCACACTCCTGGAGCGTTGACAGACGGTCCCCTAAAACAAAATCTTAATTAATAATAATACAAAAATAAAAAAAAGCACAAGCACGAACCCAAAAAGGCAAAAGAAAACTTAAAAAATCAAAAACTGAAGATCTTATGAAGAAATTAAAAAACTNAAAAAAGAAACAAGAATCAACACACTAAAAACAGAATTTTGAGCTCCATCTGACAAAATACCTTCCGCGAGATGGTCTGACTCAAGTTTTTGGCTCATTGTTAAAAGTCTCTGGTATTCTTTTACATTCCCCTGCTGTAAAAAGCTACTGAGAAAGGCAGAATATGTCCTGGCCGAAGGGGAAATTCCTTCCTTTGTCATTCTCCCCATAAGTTTAAGTGCTTCATTGGTACTCCCATTCTTACAGCACCAGCCGATCAAAGTATTATAGGTTATGACATTCGGAGCCACATGTTTTGAGGGAAGCTTGTGAAAAAGCCTCAATGCACGGCCGAGGTTACTCGATTTACACAAACCACCAATTAGAGTATTATATGTAACTATATTTGGAGAAAGACCCTTCTCCAGCATTTCGTCTCGTAACAGGAAAGCTTCATCAACGGCACCAGATACAAAGGCACTGTGAATAAGGGCTGAGTACGTGAACTCATCCGGAACAAATCCTCTTTTAGACAAATCACATATGACTTTTCTCGCATCATTAGTTCTCCCACATTTGCACAGCCCGGCTATAATTACATTGTACATAACGTTGTTCGGGATTACACATCTCGTGGCACTTTCGTCAAGGGAATCTGCAATTCTCCGAGTTTCTACACTAATTGTATCGAAGCTAAAGAAATCGTAAAACTGCTTAAAGTCGGGGATCACATCCAAATCTGCCATTTTCAGCAGCAGCATATTGGCATCCTCAGTTTTACCGAGCCTGTTCAGGCCGCTTATAATGGTGTTGCATATGTGTGCATTCGGGTCAATTCCTTTTCCTCTCATCTCAAAATACGAGTCCATAGCTCTTTTCAGGTTCCCAGCTTTAAACCAACCACTTATAAGGGCTCCGTACGTGACAACACTAGGGCTTAGCCCTTTTGCGTGAACCTCCGAAAGCAGGTCGAGGGCTTTGTCCACCTTTTCCACCTGGAACAAGCCCGTTATAAGCGAATTGTACATCTCAATGGAAGCTGGAAAACCTTCTCTATCCATAATGCCTTTAATTTGAAAAGCTGCCTCGACATCTCCTGCTCGGCAATAACCATCGATCAAGGTTCTGCAAGTCACCTCATCCGGTGAATAACCCAATTCCTTCATCTTTTCAAGAATTTGTGCTGCTTCATCCAAATTTCTTAGCTTACACAATCCATCGAGCATTGTGTTGAATAAAATACGACTTTTCGCGTGGCCTCTTGCCAGAGCATGTTTCCACAGTGTCAAGGCTGCATTAGACTTCCCCTTCCTGAAAAGACCGTGCAATAGCGTGCTAAACCCGACCTCATCAGGAACAAAGCCTCTCTCGAGCATCAACTTCCAAAGAGACAAAGCATCATCAATATCACCAAACTGGCACAAACCTTTTAAAAGAGTATTGTAAGTTATATTCGTAGGGTACACAAACTCTGCAGCCATTTTTCGACAGAGCAGGAGAGCTTTATCAATCAATCCCCTTTTACAATAGCCGTCCAATAACGTGTTGTAGCTATAACCGTCAGGCTTCAAATTGTCTTTGACTATACTCGATATGACTTCCTCTGCTTCACGGAGATGGCCGAGTTTGCAGTACCCATTTATCATAGAATTATAAATGAACAAATTCATACTCAATCCCAAACTCATCATCTCCTCTTTAATTCTCAAAGCATCATTCATTCTTCCACAACGGCAATACCCATCGATGAGTACTCCATATACCTTTTCGTCCCAGACCAATGCATCTCCTCCCTCTTCCTTCATCTCTTTAAATGCCTTTTCAGCTTGATCAATTTCCCCTACCTTACTATAACCCTTAATCAAAAGCGTACACGTAACCACATTTTTCGAAATCCCCTGTCGACCCATTAATCCCAACACTTTACCCACTCCTTCCACATCCCCCGCCTCCACATATCCATTTATCAAATTATTATACGCCACGACATTCAAATCCAATCCCTTTCTCTCCAAGCACTCGACAAATTGCATAGCCTTATAAACCCTACCATCCTTACAATACCCATCCACCACGATTGCATGAGTGTACACATCAGGCACAACTCCAACTCGGATCATTTGATCATAAACACAGGAAACCACATGAAAATCCTTATTTCTCACTAAACGGCTCAACAGAGCATTACAAGACAGCAAGCTAGGCAAGCGGCCGCATTTAGGCATATTGTCGAACACGAAAAGGGCATTCTTTAACAGCCCCCTGTCCACAAAGGCCCTCAACGCCATGTCGAAAACCGTTGCCGAGAACTTGAATTCTCGGTAAACAGAGACCAGCTCATCATAAATCAAAGAAACCGGAAGGCGGCTGCTTTCTGATAGCTCGATGAGGCCACGCAGATAGGACCGCGTTTGGTCGAACATTCTGGCGTGGGATAGGATGTGGATAAGCCTGACGTAGGATTTGAAGTGGGGTCTGAAGTAGTTCTGCCGGGAGGCTAGGTCGAAGAAGTGGGCGGCGGAGTCGGGGTGGCGTTTGAGATTCTCGAGGACGGCGTCGACGAGGGGGTCGGAGAAGGTGAAACCGAGGTTCTTGAGGGCGTCGTGGCGGCGGAGGATCAAGAGGCGGCTGATTTGGGAGGGGAGGTTGGCCATTCTTTGCGGCGGGGCACGCTGAGTATTCAGCTACCGGAAGGAGAAGGTCTACTGAGTACGGCGGCGACGGTTGGCAGTTGACAGTTTGGCAGACATCATCATTTCAAGAAGATGAATGAAAATGTATTCATTTTTAATTTGTTTTGTTTATTTATCGATTTTAATCCTTTCTTATTATACTTTATTAATTATTTTATAGAATTAGAGAGAAAGATGGAATAGAGAATGAATTATGCCAATTTTTATTATAACCAAAATTATTATTTACTGAAAAAACTTTTATAACTTTCATTATAACTATTAATTGAAGTTTTCATTTATAGAAAAAATTTTAATAAGACAATCATAATAATATCATTGTATCGTGGCAAAAATAGATCATCCACAATATGGTCGATAAATGAAATTGATTTCAAGCAAACTTCCGATTCACAATGTTGTGAATCAAAAGTTCCCTCAAGAAAGTATGAGTGTCTGTAATGTAACTTTGGATAATGAATGTACGCGGTTGCCGGTGAGCAAGATGCCGTAAACATGGACGAATGAAATGGGTTGATTTCATTCTAGAATGGGAATTGGGGTCAGACGTTATTTCGCGAGTTTCAAGACCCCTGAAGTGAATACAAAACATAGACACACTTTTTGGGCTAGAAGTTTCAAACGACAAACTTAAGCCCAAAGCTTGGAGAATACCTAAGTATCTCGGGCCGGGCCCATTCATCAGGCAGATCACGGGCTGGCCGCAGTTTTTTATGGAGGGACAATAGGAGGAGACTGCTCTGAACAACAATGGTAGATCTTACGGAAAGCCGAACCCAGAAAGCAGGCTGGGTCGTGTCTTTTTGCCTGGTGAAAAATGGAGTGACCGATTTTAATCAAATTTGCATCCCTATTTAGCAGCACATTCTTAGATAACTGAAAGAGCAGTTAATCAAAGCAAAAGAATGGNGACTCCTATACCTCGTGGCATGTATTTCCTACGAAACGTGGCCTCGATGCAAATACAAGGAAAGGCCACGCTATGATTCGATAAACAAGTAAAAAGAAGGAAAATGTGAAAAAAAAAAAAAAAGAATAAATATGCTCTCAAGTGTTTGAAAACTAAATTTTCAGTAAGGAAAGTTTCCCGTTTCCCTCATGTGGTCGAGGGTTCTCTGCAAGCCGAATTTCTGCACGGCCTGATTACCGGTCCTAAAACCGTGTCCATACACAATGGATGTGTCGGTTGCAATCTGGTGTTTGAAAAACACGCTGAGTTTCTTCTCAAACGGTGATCTTGCTCCTTGTCTTGAAGTCGAGGCGTATGATGATGATGATGAGGTGGACGCATTTTCAGCATCAGACATGAACAGAATCTGAGATTCCAACCACATGCTGGCGATGACCTGGCAGATTCCTTCTTCGACGTCTTGTCTGAGAGTTCGAAAACCTTTTCGAGAATGAATCAGTGTAAGTTAAGCGTTTGCTAGATTACCGGCTCTTGCAACACATTGTCAAATAGTATCTTATTTTTCCAAACTCGTGAATGAAACGTGAATGCATATAATATTATGTTACTGATTAATCTTCTTACTTATAAAAATTGTGTAGTCTTTCACCAGCAACTACTAAGGGTGTGTTTGTTTATAAATTTCCTTCATCCATACTCAAACTCTAACCCAACTTCAACCCATCCGCACTATACTCAATATTATAAATACAATTAAATAATCTCCACTTACATAATTTTAACTAACCATCACTTTACATCATCCATCTCCTACTTTTACATCAAATCAACTTTAATTATTTTATTTTAAATAATATTTTAATACAAACTCAAAATTTCACTAACTATACCACTCTTTTCAGAATTATCTCTGGTTTAACTAAAAAAACTCATTTTGAGCGGATATATTTGTATCCAAGCACGCCCTAATTCTCTTAATTATTCACACATCACTAAAGAAAGTTTCAGATGAATATACTATTTAAATCAAATCAATTTCCAAATCAAGTTATCAAGTCAACACTTTCTACAAAACATAATATATATGTATATGCATTTGTGTGTCTGTGAGTAGCTTGCATGCAGTGAACTCTATGAAATAGTGTGTGCTGCTTTTTCACACAATTACAAAGTTTATGGGAAAAGAGTGTAATAGAGATTAGCCTTAAGAACGCACCATTAAGTCGTAGCCAGGCATGCATCATCTCATGAGCCAATATTGATCCAGTCAGCAACCTGAAAGCGTTAAAACCAATTAAAAGGGAGAAAACTTTTCGGCCTAACCATTACAAAACGCCAGTTGTCATTTCACAAATACAATTACAAAAAACCCTTTAGCAAGTCGTGTTGATTAAACGAATTACCACCATCTCCAAGTGTAATTAGTAAGAGAGAAATAAACATCGAAGGGACGCATTTAGCAATTTTGAAATATGTTTGGACTTAATTGAAGTTAAGCCGAACCTCAGGGGTGGTCCCCGTGATTAACATCAAACTATAAGTACCTTGGAAGACCATACAAAATGAGGATGGCTGTCACTTCACAATGTCTAGTTAATTTATAAGGCTCTGTTCTCATGCCCATTGCTCGATTTCCTCCACCTGTCCTGGGTCTCCTCAGTATCTGGTGACCCGTTATTGCAAATAAGAGTTAAAACCAATCCAGAAACAGTAAAATTCTCACAAAAATTGGAACTCTCCCAAGAGATGAGGCTCGTAAATTAGAATTTGGTAAATAGTTCTTACAGTGCTGATTGTTTGTTCCTCCGAGAGACAAAGACCCCTCGTCTCAGGCATGTGATGATGCCCCTGCAATTTACGAGTATTTATTTCCGGAATTAATCACCATATAATACGAACATTTTTCAATTTTCACAATTTTAGTTCAATCTTAAATAGTTGCTTTCTCAAAAAAGTTGCTCTTTCTGTAATTCTTTATTCTTCAAAAGTAGTCGAAGCTATTGCTTAAGAAAAAAAGGACAAAAGTTAAGAGTAATTCATAAAAAAAAAGGTAATTTACTTCAAACAAAAAATAAAATAAATACATGTCTCTCGCCATCCATTGCCTCATTCAATGCTTGCCTCTCGACCAAAAGTAACGGGACTTGCTGGGTAATTTTCATATTCAGCCCTTCGAAGAACTCGAGTATATCGAGAAAAAGCGGCTGGCACTCATCAGTGTCCATAACTGCCGAGTCCAAACACTCCAGGCAGAGCTTTCGACCATCGTTAAGAGCAGCAAATCTCGCATCCCATGACTGGCAAAAAGCAAAACAAACCAAACTGATTAAACAAAGTTGGGTTTAGGTTTTACAGTTGCAAACAATTAGAGGTTTTTTTCAGAGATTTAAGAGTCCCAAAAAACTCACCTCCATTCTCTCACAACTACAGCATCGAGCTGTACCGTCATGTTCATGGCTCGGGCAGTACTTTTGGGACCAAAAAGGATGAGCCCTATATTCAATTAGGCCAGCTGCATTTGTAGGAATCTGTGGGGTTGAGAAAAATAAACAGGAATTAAACCTTCTCAAGGGAACTAATAAAGCAAAAATAATAAAATAAAATGCAATAACTTTTAGCTATGAGTGCAAATATCTAAGCAGGCACAGAACAAAAATATTATTCTTCTATTCCATAGTTGGCCTTTCCAGACTTTGGACAAAGCTCAATTAGATAATGAGCTTATATTTTTATGAGTTACTTTTTTAAAGGTATTCCATATAGGAAGTTAGTACATTTCATCAGATGTCCAAATTATCATAGTCTAATCAATGAGGAAGAAATATAATCTCACAATCCAATTAGACAAATGGTTCCCCTAGTCTGTAAGCAATGGTAGGCAGGCAGGCACCTGAATATTACTCAATAAAAAAATGTAGATGATTCGAGCATCTTTAAAAAACACTTAAGTGGCAGCAAATGCTAGCTATCAATAAATAATTACTTGAGAAAAATTCCATCACAGAATTATTTAATGGGGACAAAAAACTTAAGAGATTGAATTCATACTGAATTTATTATATATCAATTGTCATGCTTCTTTGACTCTGTATTTCTCAGAGCCACGATTCATGGTATGAATACAATCTCCAAAAAAGACATGCTTCATGAATCAGAGCAAAATCATTTCTTTTGCTAGTTTTTTGTTGTGAATGTGAGCTGATGACAACCAACTTGCCCTTTGTAGCTCCTAAAACATCTCAACTTTCAACTTCCGATAATAGACTTCTCCAGAAGTTCAAAATGCAATGATGATGTAGTTTACAATATGAGCAAATAGCACGGCCACACAAGTCACATAACAAATATCATTTCAAAGTGCAAATTTAGCTTAAATAGCAAACCGAGATAAGAAGATGATGTGTGATAATTTTAGCAACACTCGATTTGGTTAATAGATTGCCCATGCATGAAATACTTACAAAGTGACTGCAGATATCACATTTCGGATGATACGACTCCTTATAGCAAGTCTTGTGATATGGGTAGCTCCCATACATGGAAAACTGCAGTTTCAAATTTTAAACTTCGATTATATAATTTAATATGAAATGTAGGTATGTAAGCATTTATTTATCACATTTATCACTGATGCATTAGAATAAGAAAGGCAAAAGTTTATTAGTCAGGACTTCATTTACTAAGTGAATGATTCTGAATTTACAGGTAAAAAAGTATCCCACTTTTGTCAAGATAAGTTTCTACATGATATATGCACTTTTACTATTCACCTTTCTAAATAGCAAAACTTAATGCCAATCATGCACACACAGCATATAAAAAGAAACAAAAATAAAAATCTAAGTATGCAATTCTGTATATATACCATAGAGGACTCTTTTAACACATCAAGAGTTGGGAGATCATATACAAATCTAACGAGTAAATGTGTAGCTTTTTAGCTTTTGTGATTCGGACAAAAGATCTCATTATAGCAAGACAATCACTTGAATACCATCGCAGGATAACAACATATAAGATATTTGGCAAACTTTCATAGAC